GAATCTTAGACAAATCACACAGAGGTCATTGGCGAACTTCTTACATTCGTGCATCGTATATTTATAAGATATTTTAACCTCCGTTTGCGGTACCCAAATACAGCAGCAGTAAGGACTTATCGCGCTGCCCCCGGATCGCGCAAGACCCCCTGTAGGGCCTTTAACCTACCTCCGAAACCCCAGGGGGGGCTGGGGTTTTTCGATATGTCATTTTTTCAAATGCCGGCGCTACGCGAGTCCCCCTTACTGCTGCTTGTTTTTCCCATTTCAGACCATGTGTTGTTCTCTTGAGAATAGGATTTTTTTAAAAAGTTGTATCCATGTTCATGTGTCTTCTCATGCATAACCGTTAAACAAAGAAATGATACTCTAGGGAAAGACACATGGTCTGAAATGGTCTGCCCAAGGTAAAGAGGTATCTCTATTTTGTTTGTGCAAGGAAAGGTAAAGCTTCTCTAGTAAGCAGTGTTATTTTTTATCATTTAACAAATCTAAGCTAAGCACAGGAAAGTAAATGGTTAATCAAAGGGCAGCATAAAATTAAAGCAGCTTGCGTTGTCTGAAAATTAAAAAATTGTACAAAGCCTCGCCAAAATAACATATGAGCTTAGCTAGCTTTCTTTTTAGTCCAATTTCACTCATTTAAGTTTATTTTAGAGATTTGCTGATTTTCTAATGGTAAGTGTATAGATCTGAGTTTAGTTGGTCATTTTAAAATCTTCCTCAAAAGACAAATTATAGTCCAAATTAAGCCAAATAAAGTAATAAGTTCTCAATTTATTTATTTTTAAAATCATAATCATATACAATGCAATAGACTTTATAAGGTTCCCCGTGGGGATCTTCATACTAATAATTTTCGATCAAAAACAGCTAGCCCTTAGGCTAGTGTATGCTTAGCTAATGAAACCAAAATTTATTTTTGTTGGGAAGTATGGTGTACTGGTGAGAGAGTGCTTGCCTCTCACCAATGTGATCCCCAGTTCAAGCTCCACTGGGCTCATAGAGTTCCTTGTTCTGTTGGTTCCCTCCTGTGCTTCGAGGGTTTTTCTCTGATTTCTCCGGTTTTCCTCCCTCCTTAAAAATCAACTTCGAAATTCCAATAATTCACTTCACAGTTCCCTGAGCCATCTTGAAAGGTAGCTATACCTTTGCATCAAAGCAAGAACAGCGTTGACTGTGCAATGGTAGAGACATGAATAATTGTCCAAAGGTGAGCTTGCAGTGATAGATAGAGACATGTGAATAATTATTCAAGGTGTTAAAAAAGGTCACTATCATTGCAAGCTCTCTGTTCTCTCTCTTCAATGCAAAGGCACGGCTACCTTTCAAGATGGCACAGGGAACTGTGAAAGAGACTATTGGAATATCAGTGGATGAAGAGGCACTTCGTGGAAATGCCACTGCTAAATCTTATTTATTTTATTCCTTATTGATAGCAAGAATAGAGGGATATACCTGTCTCTCTGAGGAAGCCTTCTGGGGCCATGTTGAGGGATTCCACCAAGAAATAGCCTGATTAGGGGGTAAAGGACTGGAATCCTATTGGTTGTTGAACAAAGCCAATTGATTATAATTCTGATGTATCCAAAAGATCTTAATAACACCAATGATAAAATAACTTTTAAAAATATGAAAAATATTTTAGTCTTGACATGTTTCAGCTAAATAAAATATTTTTCATACATTATAAAGCATAATTGATGTACTTGCATAACATTGAGAATCTCAAAAAGAAAACAGTTCTGTAAGAGAATGAGGCTTAACTCCACACAGTTATTGTGAAAGAAACTTAAATGTCATGGATAGAGAAAACGGGTTTAGAGAAAGATTTTTGGCTAAACCATTCAATACTCTGAGTTTATATTATATTATGAATCAAAGTAAGACTAGACTTTGTAATTAGCAGTTAATTGTACTGAAATAAACTTTGTCATGGATATACACTATAGAGTAAAGGGGTAAAAATGTATTTCATGTCAAACTGATGTGGGTCAGTTGTCAATATTGCCTGACAGTCATTCGTGCATTGTGCAACATTGAGGTGATTCACAGCCAACGCACAGCTGATAGTCCCGGGGGAGGGGGCACTCCCCTATATTCGCTATTTGGGTACATGCCGCCAAACAGGGTATGTATTTCAGCGATTCTACTCTGGAACAGGGTATATAAAATCATGTCTGCTTTGGGACAGGGTATATGAAATCACACTCTCTCCTCTCTGGAACAGGGTATCTATTTTCGCAATACCGGAACAGGGTATGGTTTTCAGCAATCTTATTCTGGAACAGGGTATTAATTTCAGTGATTTTACTCTGGAACAGGGTCAAGGTTCAGAGGGCTCAGCGACACAATCCTACCCTAAACGGGCAAGGGTACCCCCCAGGGTGATAGTCCACGAATGCTTTTTCGTATCTTGTGGTAGGCCACAGCCAATGCACAATTGACCATTGGGCAACTCTCAATAAAGTGACCGTGAAGTGTTGGTAAAGTAAGCCATTAGGCTGGTGATTCTCAACCAACAAGTATCAGCTGGTCAAAAAGAACATGATTACATGATTAAGTTCAAGTTTAGGAAAAGATTTCTCTTAGATTGTTGTTGTTAAAGGTTGTTTAAAATGATGATACTGAGTGAAATTGGTCAGCAAGATTAGCAGGTTAGGCAAGTTTAAAGTGTTCAACTAAGATTAAACTAAGACAATGTTAGAACAGAGTTGTTTGGTTCAAGAGTTAACCCTTCAACATTACATACATATTATGCATACATATAACTGGGGGGGGGGGGKGGGGTTCATTATGACCTTTCATGCATATGCATTTTGGGCTTCGTACAGTATGTCACATGCAACGAAAGCTTTAACAGCCTTTTTTTTAAATAGCTGTATTTCCTGAAAGTACATACAGTCATCTTGATTGAACAGAACAAAAAAAACTATTATAGTTCATTTAAGTGCCCATAAAAATTTGTCTGACTTACAGTTGTAGTGAAGTAGATTCTTGTCTCTGTTGCCAGCAGCCAGTAAAGTAGAAGAATCACCCCTGGACAAGAGACAAGTGGCCAGTCTATATTCTGTTTAACATGCAATACTTGTGGGTGGTTGCAGTCTGTGTAGACAATACCAACAAGACCTAATAACCTGCAATGAATATGCAATAAAATAAATGACAATGGACAATAATATGAAGAGTAGGTCTGCATTCTCATTAATGCAATGATAGTATGCACAATAAAATTACTCAATACTGCAGCTTTGAGTCCTCAGTTGCTCAGGATTAGCCTTGATTTTGTATTTTGTGAAGAATATTCATGTGTTTCAGTGAAATGCCGTGGAATTTCAAAGTGTTTGTACTCTGTTGAAGTTGTGCATTCTTTACTTTACTGTTGGTATTTGTGAATATTTAGACACTGATTTGAGACTAAGCCAGAGTAAATGAGTCTGTAATCTAGGAACACAGCAATGATTTGGAGCTATGGTCTATTCTGATTGGTCAAGAGCAGTGTAATTCTTAATTGTAATTTGTAGGAGTACAGTAGCTATTTTAATAGCAACTTAAAAGTTGCTATGGGAAACATGCATACATAGTCAACAGTGGCAAAAATGAAATTGAACAAAAATGAACAAAAGTTGAAAAACAATGTGCAAAGTTTTATATTAAGAAAAATCAAAAATGAAAAGATTTCAAATATGCATCATATTTCTCCTTATTGGAAGTTTCGGAGAAAATTGGCCAAAGAGACAGATAAATGTCTTGTAATATCTAATGTATGTAGTATGTATCAAGGCCTTATGTGCAACCAAGTGCAGAGAGGTTACTGCAGGTGATAGATTTGGTATATACCAGTCTTATACCTAGTAATCAGACGCTGAGGAGGCAAGACATCTTGGAAGAACTGCGACTGGTATAAATATAGCACCAGGACATGTAGACCAGAATATATCATTAATATTAGTCTAATACATGCAAATGCCTTCCTGTGCCGCAGTCGCACAGCTTTATGGCAGGCCCATACCGTACCCAGGCCAAGAAATGTCACGAAATAGATCACTGAAATGACAGATGGTTGAATAATTCCAGCTGCTAGAAGCATGGCAGCCATTACGTAAGGCATTATATTATCAGTTGTGGTTGGTTCGTGTGATACGGCAAGTACTTTTTGAGGGCTTTTTGGAGTTGCAGCACGAGAAACAGGAGAAGAAGCCAGTCTTTTACAGCACAAGACACATGACAGTGAAGTAATGAAGACAACTACATCTGGTAATATGTAACGGACAACAGTGTAGGCTGGCACTGCATCAAACCTGAGGAAAAAACAGATAATAATTAGTATCAGAAACAATTTAATCTTTATGGACTGGTTTCATGCAATCAGGGCGGTCAACCCCTGAGATATTCAAATCTGGAGAATTGATAGGGAAGGGACATGACGTAACAGCACGTCAAAAAGCACGCGAAAAGACATCTTTCGCTTTGTAACATTTGATGTGATTGGTTTATTTCTGACAAATCAGATTATTGCTTTTATTATAATGGCCTGCTTGCAAGAACAGTATATGAGGAACGTTTTGATTTTGTTAGCGATGTAAAATAACACAAACAATACAAAATAATCGGAATTTTGTGGTTGTGAAAGTTGAGTCTCACAAGAAATGGTCAGCTTCGGGGATTATCYGGGAGATTTGAGACTCTAATCTGGAGACCGGGAGATACAGTCCAAAATCTGGAGACTCCCGGTTTATCCGGGAGAGTTGACAGCCCTGTGCAAAATACAATATTCAAGTCAAGTCAAGTCAGGTTTATTTTGCACACTAAAATTTAAAATAACTTTATTTCAAGAGGGAAATGCAATACATGTACAGTAATCTATTACAGTTTTCTAACTAACTTATGGGCCTGAACAACAACAATAAAAACGGCTAGTTGTACTAGGGTAAAATGATAAAAATGTTAACGACCTACAAGATTACTGCTGTGAAACCTTTTTATATATCTATTGTTATGGAGGATTCAGACAAGATTGCGTCAGCCTGTATCTAGTTAACTGCTTTGTTTTTACATGTATTTAGCATAATTATTATATTAGATACATCCTTACCTATTCAAGCCTATTTCTCTGGCAAGCTGTTCATATGTTGAACCTGTCAATAATCATAAAATGAAATACTACATGAGTTACGTACCCATGGAACGTGGAAATTACATTTTCTGAATATCAGATGGTATTCCCTTGAGTATTATTTTTAATCTAATGATATCTAATGTGAAAAATTCCTGTTGCATGACTGATCCTAATTTTCTTGCCGATTTTGGCTGACCCTGATACTTTTTTTATTCCCAAATGCACCACAGGGTTCCCAGTAAGCTCATTTCCACTGTTGTATCAGTAAAAAAATCTGACCTACCGACCCCAATTATTTTTCTCATGCAACAGGAAACACACTTATTTTTTTGTTTGGCCTCGCATCCACAATAATTTTGAGAAGGCTCCATTGCCTCTTCACCTTCAGACCATGTGTCATTCCAATGAGAATAAGAGATTATTTGTTGGAGTTCTACCTATGTGGTCAACCATGCTTCATGGTAAATGGACCTCTTTACCTTGGGCATAATGTTTTACCATTTCAGACCACATTACATTCTCTTGAGAATAAGATTCTTGGTTTGAGTTGTATCTATATTCATGTGTCTTCTACACATGGTCTGAAATGGGAAAACATTATGCCCGACATAAAGAGGTCTACCTATTGCCTATTTACTTACAATTAGGTAGAAAATGCCCATAAGGTGGAATGGCTGCCAGAACTATTTGAAAAGTAATTTGAGCCACAATAGCAATAACAGATAAACCTAAAATGGCTTTCTGAAGGTTCCCTGTATGACCACAAGCTGGAAAAAAGACAATGACAAATAAATATTCCACAATTCTTTCAAACATTGATAAATATATAATTTAAACCTGTTTTTCAAAAATGTCATGAAACATGTAATAAACATTTCATTATACTCCCATTTTGAGTTCGCCTTTAGCCACAATTATGTACAAATGTGTTCTTTTCTTTCAGTAAAGGGGCACTTGGATGAAAATCAATGAAAATTGGAAATGACTTGAAACTTGGTTAAGCTTATCTATATGGCCCAGATAGTAGTCAAGCAACATGTTTCCTTCACAGTCAAAAGTGGCGGGAAAAATTATCAATTTTATTCAGCATTTAAATTGTGAGTAAATGATGTCATTTACTCAACCCTATTGTTCTTTTTGCTTTTGAGCCAAAATTTCTCATCTGCAAGTGGCTCCCAGGCTAAGATTTTCACTTATCTGGTTTACATAATTATAATTGAGTCAAATTATCCTCAAATCAATTATTTGGACTTTCAAAAATCGGGGTGTTTTCATCCAAGTGCCCCTTCAAGGCCCATTGTACATAGTAAGGAATGTACGTACTATGTAAAACTTCTACTTGTTTAGGTTGAATAGCTAAATATTTTAACACACAACCAATATGTATTTATGAAAACAGCGCTGGATAAAAAAGTGTATTTTAATCATACAAAAAAAGTACTAGTAAAAAAACTTCTTTTTATTTTAAAGAGTAGACAGTCTTAACATGATAGAAAAAGGTGTTGTGCCTAGACTGGTAGTATACAGTCCTTTGACTAAACGTTGTTGTTTGATCAGCTTCATCCCTACGTGCCTAGACCGAAAAGGATCATGGGGATAATTAATTCACAGTTACTAGCTGCCGCATATGTTATCTAACACGTCTTGAGCTTGCTTTTTTCGATCCCATTTAATTTGCTAAAACCATGCCTCGAGCATATAGCGAATATTTAAACTGGTGAGCAGTTTGGATGACGCAAGTTCTGGATAATTTACACGTTATCCTTTTCGGTCTAGGTGCGTAGGGATGATCCGATCAATGACAATGTTTAGTCAAAGGACTGTATACGTATGTATGAGGATATCAGCATTCATTCTGCAACAGAATGTTTGAAATATAAGCAAATTCAGTATTAAATTTACACAATTTTGCTAATCGCTCCAGTTTCCTTGGTTACACTGGTGTCGTGTTCTAAAAGACTCTTGTTATAATCTATACTACTGCAACAACTTGAGCTGCATAAAGACCTAATCCATCAAGGAATAATATTTTCCCATTTCAGACCATGTGTCATTCTCTTGAGAATAAGATTCTTTGTTTGAGTTGTATTCATATTCATGTGTCTTCTCATGTGCAACTGTTAAACAAAGAAATGATACTAGGGATTGACACATGGGAAATGGGAAAACAGTGGGTTAAGTCTACTCACTATGGAAAGCAAACATCTTGAAATAATTATATTAATTAAATTATCTTATTGTCTGGACTTAAGTATTGTCACTAAATAAATGAGTTTGCATACTTACGTCCAAAATTTTTTCGCGTAGGATTAGGCAAAAGTGGAATAATGAGCAAACAGCATAAGTAAATGAATGAGAAACCATTAATTCGTATGCAAGAAGCTGGGGAAAAGAACAATCAATCAAATTAAAATCGAAAAGGAAAAGAAATTTTACCACTTGAATGAAGAGTTGCCCATATAAAGAAAAATTTGCATACTGTATTGAAATTATGCTCGCCATTAATTTTTTTAAGAGCTAAACTTGTTTTCTGAACATTTTCATTCTTAAAAAAAGGTTTTTTTCGAATAATATATTCTCTGAATTACGTCAAAAAACAAAAACAAAATAGAAATGGTACTTTTACACATTTATAAGCTTTAAACATAACTTATATTTTCTTTGAATATAAAAACCCATTCTTCTTTTTGAGGGTTAAAAAATACGCATTCTAAAGCACTTGAAAGATAGTTTTCTTAACAAGAGGTGGAAAAATAGCAAATGTACCATGAATGAAGTAAAAAAATTCAGTTTTTTTACGTGAATATTTTTAGTAAATTTTTTCCAGCAATTTTTGAGTTCGTCAATCAGTAATGTTTATAATGAGAGTGTTCGATTTAAAACACTAAATTGAATTAAAATACTCTTCTATAACCCAACTTTTATTTCCAATAGTTTTACTTTTATGATTTTCGAAGGGAATTACGAAACTAAGGTCGACATATTTCAACACACATCAAAACAAATTACAGCAACGATAAATAATCTTTGGTCAGAAAAACTTACCTCCAAGAAGAAGAAGAGGAAGAACCCAACGAAATAACAAAGCACAGACCACAACTGAAGCCATATTTAAGTGTATTATGAATATCCACTGTCTTTTATATCAAAATTTCAACTATTTTAACTTGTATTTTTTATTCAGGCTTCTCGAGGCACGCAACTTTTCTTTTTTTCCAATGCCAACAAAATATTCCACTAAACTTTCCAAAAACTTCATAAGGGTCAAGTTAATTGATTGAGGTGTAGAATGGTGAGTCCAAACTCGTCTTTCTTGTTGTATAAAGTGGTTTTTCTGGGTATAAATGTGTAAATAAAATAATATTCGTGTGTCCCGTCCAGTTAGAAGACCTTTGGGTCTTCCGAGCCCGCGCGCAATAACCGCAAAGCTGGATTAAATATCTAGGATACGATATAATGGCTAAAAAATGAAGCCCCAAATAGCATTAGAATGGATATTTTACCTAACCGAGACAAAATGCAGAGAGTTCATTTTATCATTCGCATTTCTATCTTTTATTTCAGTTTTTTAAATGTCTGTTTTCTATTTTTAACAAGTCGGGATAGTTCGGAATAAGTTCGTGAGGATCTGAGATTTCGAGTAAGTATTGACTGATTACTATTTTACTTGACCTAAAGTCTCAAAAGAGATTAAAAAACAGCTAATTAGCAGCTATTTATTTGATTATTTACTATCATTCTTTTATTTCAGTACTTTTCTTTATTCATTTTTTATATCTTCCATTCTTTTTCTTTTGTTATAAAATGTCGGGGTTGTTCGGAATAAGTTCGTGAAAAATCGTGAGTTCTTTAATCAATCCCTCGTCCCAGTCTCCCACGAGTTTACGGTCAACAAAATGGCGGGCAAAGAGTAAAGATTAAAAAAACGATCAAAAACTTGCAAAATATCACTAATAAGTCAAGCTTCAAGCATCTAAATCGAGTGCTTAGTATTCTGAATCTTAAAAGAGATCGTAGTCATGTTCATAGCGAGAGAAATATCAGCAGGACACAAGGATTTGATCCACGATGTGTCATATGACTTCCATGGAAGGCGCATGGCTACTTGTTCAAGTGATCAAAGTGTGAAAGTTTGGGATCTTGGTGAAGATGGCGAGTGGAAATGCACGGGAAACTGGAAGGTAAAAATGTCGATAATGTATTCCTCTTGCTTGCAATTTACTTATCCCTGTATTCATACTTAATAATTGGCCAAATTCTGCAAAATTTACCGGAAGTAAAAATATATCAAAACTTCAATGAACCAAACACCTTTCTCCTTAGATACCTTTTGTTTCTGAAGACTGCAGACTCTCACCAATCTATTCTTACAGTATATTTTGTGTTGTTGATGCTGTTTGTATGCATGATAATAGTTTTGGGTACCCTGTGTCATTTTAAAATGTAGTATTGGGATCCCTGTGGTTTGCAATAAGCAAGTTACATCACAAAATATGCTTAGACCCTCCTCACCTGGACATTGTCCAGTTATTTAAGTGCTGCCTTTGGAAATTTCAATCCCTCTTCATAGAGTTCATAAGCCAAGGATACTTTGGGATCTACATATTGGAAAACATTAGGTAATTCTCAGTAAGGATTTTGGGCATATATTATTAGAAAAGATTCCTATTGATGGTTTTCAATACAGGGCTTAAAATAACAGCCTGACATTGGACAATGTCTGTCCAGCATTGGAACATGTCTGTTCAAATCTTTGCCTTGCTGGTAATTTTGACCAGTAACATTCAGCCAGAGGTACAGTATGTCCGAGCTAAAACTATAATGTGTAGTTCCAAAAATTATCCATACCCACCCCATAGAGGAATTGGAAGTTGGAATTTCCGAAGAGTTGGGGGTCAGAGAAAGCACAAAAATTACAGAGCTTGTATGGAAGAAAATTGGAATTTCTGGGAGTAGGGGGGGGGGGGAGTGTGTTAAAAAAATTCCTCTGTGAGGGGGTATGGATAATTTTTGGAACTTCACAATATGGACTATCATCATGACCTGCAACTGACACCCCCTTATCTTAAGCCCTGCTACAGTATATAAATGTTATTTTATTTGTTACAGACTCACTCTGGTTCAGTGTGGAAAGTCACCTGGGCACACCCTGAGTTTGGTCAGGTTCTCGCATCCTGTTCCTTTGACAGAACTGTAGCCATCTGGGAAGAACAAGGTATGAGATAGCTTCATAAAGTCAGATCAGGAGTAAATGTCAGAATATTCATGGGCCAAACATAATCAAGTGAGATAAGTTTATCCAAAGCTCAACATTTGACTCAGTTAAGCTTGATTCTAACTGTGAAACAACCTCTAAAGCGGGGCTCAAAATAGCTGTCTGCCAATAGCCAAATGACATGCCAAATTTCAAGTTTGGCAGGCGCAAATAACTATGAACTGGCAAATAAAAAAAATGACATACAAAATTTACTGGAATGACCTCCTTTTACCATGCTCCTTTACTATGGCAGGCTAAAAAAAAAAATATTTCAAGCCCTGTAAAGTGGTCTAAGTCAGGACACAGTTACATCAAAAAGATTGATATCAATGCAATTTAGCTGCTTAGGAAAACTGGGCAACCTGCAGAAAACCCTTGAATTAAGGGAGAAACGCAATAAACTCTACTCACATGTGATGGCGAGTCCAGAAATCAAACCTGAGAACTCAGAAGTGAGAGGCGAGTGCGTAAAATCCCTTACTTTCAGCCTTTTCGGATTGTGTGATAAAAACAATACAAGCTACATCTTGCATTGTGTTGTCGTTTATTTAACTCAAAACCTAAACTAGAAACTACACGCACACGGTCTTAGTCGTGACACTGCGTAATAGCTATAACGAGTGCAACTACTACTTCACCACCCGTGATTCTTGCCCTCATAATTTAATTAATTCAAGGCCTCATCATTTATTTAAACTCTATTTTAACTGGTTTTCAGTTGTTGGGTCAAATCATACCTTGACACATGGACAAAGTCATTGGGTAAGTAAAAAAAACTTTTCTGGAAATTTTCCTGTGTCTGTATTGATAAGTAGTTGTACATGTATTTATTATCTTATCATCTTTTGTAGGTAAAGCGTGCATCTCTTGTGGACAGTCGGACGTCAGTGACAGATGTCAAATTTGCTCCCCATCACCTGGGATTACAACTGGTAAGAGTAATGTAATGTACTTACTACTTTAGATTAGTATGGCTAGTTACATGATGAAAGATGATGGCCGTGGTCTAGCACTCTATTTCTTCTTCCATCCATCCATTCATCTGCCCATCTACCCATCCATCC